AAAGGTTGGCTACAATAGGTGACACCGGGGAGCCCATGGCACAGCCATGTTTTTGCCTGTAGGTCCGGGTTCCAACATCTGGAATAAGCAACTGCAATCACAACTAGAGATGAGGTCCAACACAATTCTTGCTGCACGTAGGAGCCAGTACATCAGGTGGGGGGAAGATATCATCATCCCCACCCACTGAGATCAGGTACCAAGCACTAAGAACAACTAGTGCATTGAAGACATTGAGTGCAAGAGAAGCAGACCTAAAAAAAAAAAGAGGATCATAACTAAGCTGGAAACCTGGACCATCCATAGCCAAATACCAAGACCACGGGACATACACTCTGGAGGTCTACCAGAAGATGTGAATGAAGGATTATGGACAATCCTTGATGTGACGATCACTGAAACAAACCAGACACCATGGCAGCAGTGATAACTGAGGCGATTGGCTCTAAGATGAACAGCCACAAGGAGCAGTACCCTCCACGGAGAAAGAGATTAGAGGCCAAGATCAAGGCAGCACAGATGGAAATCAGTCAACTATTGGAGCTGCACAAAGGTGTGAAAACAAGTACAGCAAGCTGTCCATAACCGAGGCCTTGGAAACAGCCAAGCAAAGACTCACAGCCGTGGCTTGCCGTCAAAGAGACCACAGAGATAGAAGCCAGGGAGATAAACCAGATGTTCTCCAGTGAACCATCCAAGGTGTATTCTCAAGGAACAGCCCCAACAAAGCTTCTAGTAGATGAGACACACCGAGAATGGCTAACTGAAGGCAGGACAGTCCTGATCAAGGATCCCCCCAGAAAGGACTGGTTTCAGCACAACATGGAAGCTCCTGTCAGGTGTTGTAGCGGCTAAGATGAATGGGCAATAGATAAGTGGGGCCCAGAAACACCAGAGGGGCAAAATAGCAGCTACTTAGAAAGCCTTACCAAGTTTTATCAGAATTCATTCAAACCTTTTTGAGCTAGCGTGTTTACAATCAGACTGATTACACAGACGCATGCAGACACTACCAAAAACATGACGTCCTTGGTGGAGGTACAGGAGATAAAGAAACAGCTTCTCGGAGTTCCCCGTCTCAGTCCTGGGGCCAATTTACTTTTCATCATAAAAAACATCCTTTTTACTCAACTGCAGGGACTTGTATAGGTACCCAAGTGCTTGCTCAAGGGGGTCATTTGATTATAGGGATATACTCATTATTATTGTAGGGTTACAATATAAGGTATCATCTATCTTCTACCTACATCTATCACTAAA